CAACGATATGATAAAGCAAAGGGTGCAAAATAAGAATGGCTCAGTCAGAGTAAAAGGTATAAAGGTGTTCTTTGTACTATTCTCATAATTTTTCTATAAATGTGAAATTACGTTTTAAAATAAAGGCTTAAAATGATGGTAAATGTATAACTAAATAAATAAGGGGACCATCAGGAGGAGCCTGGGGCCTGGGAGAAACACGCGGCTCTCTGTATCTGGGAGGAAAGAAATCAGCATGAAAAGGAGAAGAGAGAATGGGTGAGCGAGGTGGGAGGCCGTGTGAGCCTGGGCCCGTGTACTCCTCTGCGGAATGTGTACAGCAGCACACACACCCCGGGACTCGTGTAAGGAGCCAATAAGATGCAGCAGGTGCAGGGCTGGGCCCAGTGCCTGGCGTGTGGTTCAAGAGCTCAATAAATAGAAAGGTATGATGGTTACACAGACTTCGACACACCCAGCGCTGTTGTGAGCACTCCACGAGTAGCAGCTCCTTTAATGCTCACCAAAGAACCTCCTGAGGGAGGAACCACTAACATCAACATCCCCATGAGGAGGAAACTGAGGCACGAAGGGGTTGGTGACTTGCCCAAGGTCACAGAGCTTGTAAGTGGGGGCACTAGGATTTGAGCCCAGGGGGTGTGTTTCAACAGGCCTACTGATGTTTTTCTAAATGACCCTATAGCCCTGAGGGGTCTCAGTTTTGTTATTTTGATATTATAGCTTTATAGTCAGAATTACATTCAGCTAGCCCCCCAAACCCTCAAATCTTCAATTTCAGGCTCCCACGCTATGGTCTCCGAGCTCTCATTTCTCTGTTCAGATGGGACAAGAACACTGAGCAGGGAAACCGAGGCCCAGGGCCTCTATAGGGATGGCGCCGATGCTGGGGTGGAGGAGACAGAGACCCTGCTGGGGATGTGCAGGTGAGCGCCTACACCTGATGCACCAGCACTGGGCCTGGGACGGTGAGGAATGGAGAGGGGCAGGGTGGCTGCTGTAAATTCATATGTTAAAACCTAACCCCCAAGGCGATGGCATTAGGAGGTGGGGCCTTTGGGGTGATTAGGTCACGACTGCGTAGCCCTCACGAATGGGATTAGTGCCCTTTTCAAGCAGCCCGAGAAAGTTCCCCTGCCCCTTCTACCCCGTGAGGATACGATGAGAAGTCAGCACCTGCAACTGGAGGAGGGCCCTCCCCAGGACCGGCCCGCGCTGGCCCCCTGACCTGGGTCTGCAGCCTCCAGAACTGTGAGCGATACGCTTCTGCTGTTTACGAGCCACACGTCTGTGATATTTTGTTCTAGCGGCCTGAATGGACCAAGGCAACGGGCTGGCCTGAGTTGGGCTTGGCTGGCTGGGCTGGTGGGCTGGGAGGTCCAGGGTTGGCACACCCTGAACACTGATGCTGACAGAAACAACAGTCACCACTTTTTGAGCCTTTTCTCAGCTCTCAGCTCCACCTTCAGGGATTTACTGCATCATTGCACTTAACCAATCTCTCACCCACCCTTGTGGGTAGGTATAATTGTGCCCATTTTGCAACTGAGGAGGCTCAGGCTCAGGGGGGTTACCTGGCTGGTTTGGGTCACCCTGTGCACAAGAGGCTGAGTGGGACCCCCAGGCTCCTGGCTCCCCTCTGCTCCCCTGCCCTGCGTGGCACAAAGCTGACACTCTGCCCCCTTTCTCTGGCATCGCTGGCAGAATGGCAAGGTGGGGGCTTCTCCGCCCCTCGGTGGAGGATGAGAGCCTGCTCAAATGCTCACCGAATTAACAGCCGTGGGGCTGGCCGTCCCTGCCCCTAATCGGCGGCCTCTGTTCCTGCTCTTGGTGGTTCCTCGCACCCTCTGGCTCAGAACAAACGGGCACCTCATTAGCTCCAGTAAGCATTCATTTCAGCCGCATGGTTCTGGGGCGCAAGTGCATGCTTGGAACGCACAGGGGTTTATTACGTTTGCAGAAATAACACTTATGTAGACAAAAGAGTCGAGCAGCCCAAGGAGGGAACCTGAAGGCAGGGAGGGCGGTCAGCACCCTGCCCACCTGGCCCCTCCCCGCCTCGCATGCCTGCCTCTTTCCCAGGGCTGACCTTCTGTGGGGACACTGCTTCCTCTCCTAGCTGCCCCCTGCCTGTGCTGACCTCTGCCACACACAGCCCCTGAAGCCATTCCCCTGAGGGGTCAGTCAGGCCAGCCAAGGCTAAGGTGAAGGGCCTTTATGCCCCCAATAATAGGTCAACTGTGCTGCTCCAGGCTGCATTCAGTCTGCAGAGCGCTGGGCACCCTCCAGGCCCCACTTCCAGTCATCCTGGCTGGTTCTCAGACTTGATACCTGCCTGTAAGATCCGTTGACTCTGTGTGTGGGGTCAGGCCCACATCTTTCACCTCCAAGGACAGTGGTTCAAACCAAGACAGCTTCCCTTCCTCCAGACACAGCCCAGGCAACCACGGTTGCAGTTCTGTGGGTCTCCGCCCGCTTTTACTGCTCCTCGTCCAACTGGCCTCTATCCACCGCTCAGTGGTCTTCACCCAGCAGCCACAGACCCTTCCCCGTCCTCTCCCAGCAAGACCCCAGGATGAAAGGACTGGATGCCACGCTTACGGGTGGTCTACTTTCACAAAGGCCAATCCAAAACTGGCTCCTGGCCCAGCTGAAGGAGCTCCCAATGGCCAAAGCTGGAATGATTCGAGCAACAAAATCAAGGAGTATTGCATTATAACCCAAAGTAGAAAATAAATATCCACAAGCCCATTCTGATATAAATAAATGATTGAATTAATAAATAAGTGGGGGAGAAGAGACAAATCTCCCATGAAGAATTCCAAATAATTTACGCATTCACCCTGTCCTCAGGGAGGTGGAGCAAAGCTTCCCGCTCCTCAGCTGTGGGCTGTGCAGAGTGCCCTCCTTCCAAAAAGGACAGCATGGAACCTTACAGGGGAGACACCTGACAAAGACACCTCAGCTGGGTGACAAGGTCAACATCAACAGTGATCAGTCATGTGGCGAGCATGTACCCTTGATATGATCTGATGAAAATAGCACTTTACCTCTGTGATCCTCTTCCTTAAAACCCACAATCCCAGTCTAATCATGAGGAAAACATCTGACAAATCCCAGTAGAGGGACATCTGAGCAGTACACCTCAAAACTGTCAAGGGCATCAGAACCAAGGAAAGTCTGAGAAACTGTTGCAGCCAAGAGGAGCGTAGACAGATGTAAGGGCTAAGTGTAATGTGGTACCCTAGATAGCATCCTGGAACGGAAGAAGGACATGATGTACAAACCAAGGAAATCCAAATACAGCATGGACTCTAGTTAATATTTATGGATCAACATTGGTTCATTCAGTTGATGCCTGTACCGTATTAACGTAAGACACTAAGAATAGGGGACACTGGGTATGGGGGGCACCAGGACTCTGTGTACTTTCTCCTCAATTTTTCTGTGAATCTAGGACTATTCTAAAATAAGACATTTATTAAAAACATGACGGGCTCCTGCATCCCCTGTGAGCTGGCTCCTCTTCCCCCTCTACCACGTGCCCCCTGCTCCCCAGCTCCGTGGAAAGTTTTCATATTAACTCTCCGTCGACACCCTCCTGGCCAGTCTGTGGAGCCCTCTGCTCATTTTCGGTGACCCTCTGTGTTCCACCCTCTCCCAGCTCACGCCTTCCTGACTCCCTCCTCCCTAGATGCAGCCACGTCAGGGAGCACTCCTGGCTCTCCAGCTACCGTCCTGGCCATCACTCCTGTGCGTCCTCTCTTGGCCTCCACGATGCACCAGCCCCACAGTCCACCCAGGGCTACCTCCTGGCCCCTCTTCTCCTACCTTCTTCCTGCTGAGTCAGACTCCACATGGAGGCTGGGGACCTGGGCGCGCCTCTGTAGCACAGGCGGCTTTGTGATGACTCAGAGCAGTGTGTCCACCTCCTTGTTCCAGAGCGTCTCCATGTGGAGGGTGGCTGTGCATCTAGATCCTCAACTGTCCCAAAGCTACACGCTCATCTTCCCCTACACACGTTCTTCCCTCTCTCTCCTCTGCCTCAGTGAGCGGCGTCACCTGCCTAGGGACCTGCTGAGTCCTCTACGTGGTCCTGGGCCCTTTCAACCCCTCATCTGTGACATCCCATCTGCTCCTGGATCCTTGGAAGCTAGCTCCTTAATGCTGGCTTCAGGCGCTCTCTTCACCCCTCTGTCACCATGCTGCTGTTGCTACTTTCATCGCTTGCCTGGGCGTCCACTCCAGCCTCCTTGTGGTCTCCCTGGCTCCAGCCTCCTCCATTCAGTCCGTTCTCTACACAGCAGCCAGGGTGGTGACTGTAAACTGTCCATCTGATGCAGTGGCCATCTGCCTGCGACGCTAGTGGATCTCAGACACCTCGATGTGGCACCCACGACCCTTTATTCTCTCCTTTCTCTGCATCCTCTCCTCTTGCCTCTATCTCCACAGCATCTCCACTCCTGCACAGCTGCCCACTCGTCACTTGCCCATGTTGTACCCTCAGTCTGGAACGCTCTTCCCTCCCATGTTCTCTGGCTAATACCTGACAGTCCTTCAGGACTCAGGGGAGGGGACAGCTCTCTCAGGAAACCTGCAGCCTCCTCTGTCCCCAGATCACCATGTACTTCCCCTGCTAGAGAACCTGTCTCTTCAAGCAGATATCATCTGCTTATAGCCAGCATCCACCTCTCCCTCGTTCCCTCCCAGCCCACGAGCACAGAAGACTGAGTCCCACACATCTCTCTACCTCCGGGGCTACCAGAGGTGCTCGAAAAAAGTTGTGATAACAGAGAACACTCATTGAGCACTTACTACATGCCAGACACAATGTTAAGCACTTTACATTGAGGAAAGTGGAAACTGAAGCACAGACGACTCAGCAACTTGCTAAGTCACACAGCGGAAGTCATGGAACTGAAATGGAAACCAACAGTCTGATTCCATCACTTGTCCTTTTAACCACGTTGGTCTTTGTTTTCTGTTCCTTTTTCTGCCTAGCAATTTAGTGACCCATACCAACAGCTATCATCCATAACATCGTTCTTATGGGTCCATAGCGTTCCATCATGTTGACGCAACATAATTTGCTTAACCGATCCAATTATTAGTGTGTGCCCAATTGTCTGACTATTTTTCAAATGGTTGACCAGTTATCCCATCACTATTTATTAAGGAATTCTTGTTTTCCCCTACTCATTTGAAAAGCCACCTTTATCATATAACAAATAGTTACACATACTTGAATTATTATGTTGGCTCATTCACTTAATTGTGCGTTCATACTGTTGCGAGTTGTTATGCCTTCACAATGCATTGTCATTCACTCGTTCACTCACTCACTCACTCACTCATTCAACAAATATGTATTGAGTTGGTCTGTGGACCAGGTGCTGTCCCAGAAACTGCGAATCAGCAGCGGACAATGGAGCAGGAGCAACATCATCCTCCTGGTACTTGCATTTTAATATCTGACCTTGGAAGCGGCTCCCACCTCGATCAATTTCATTTATTAAGACGTTCTTAGGCGTTCTTGCCTATTTATAACTCCCAATGAACTGATGTTGGCAAGTAAGAAAATACATTTGGGATTTAATTGGCACTGAATTAAATCTATGGATTAATCTTAATGGAATTGACATTTTTTATTCTTTTCCATGAGCACAGCAGGCGTTTCCATATAGTCAATTCTTATTTTTACATTAAATTTAGTCTCACATGTTTATTGCTAAGTTTGTTGCTATGTATTTTATATTTTTGTTGCCATCATGAATGTCATCTTTTTCCCATCATATATTCTAGACGATTAATTCTGGTACACAGGAAAGGTATCGATTTTTGAATATTTAAGTCAGCATCTTACTAAATTCCCTGATTAACTGTAATAGTTTCCAGTTGGTCTTTTGGATTTCTTAGGTAAGTAAGCATATAATACGTGAAAAATAATTTCCCCCCTTCTTTCTTGTAGTTTTACCACTTGTTTGGTTTTCTTTTCTTCTCCTGTTGTATTGACTGGTGCCGGATTTCCGAGGTGTGTTGGTAAACGTTTAACAACCAGCTCTCCAGGGAAAATAACCCTGATTTGCAGCGCTTGCCAATTTCCATGGTGTAAATACCCTCTCCGTGGCCAATCCTAAGCTACCAAAGTGCTGTCCTTGGACATACTGGGAAGAGATGCTCACCTCTCGACGCCAGGATAAGCTCATGGTCCCCAGCCTCAGATGGTTTCACATGAACTCTTCCATGTTTCCTGGTCAGCTCCCACTCCTATTCTCCACTCTTGCCAGCTTTCTCCACTCTCCTCAAATTGTCCACCTCATCATCCTGCCTTCCCTTAGCTGGTGAGGTCGCAGCTTGCTCCCATTGAACTTATTTGCTTATCTCCATAGGGATCTTCAGGATGATCGAGGAGCGGGGCTTGCTTAGCCCTCCTTCCCCTCTTCCACTTGGGGGTCTATGCCATCAGCGAACCCCAAACCTTCCCTCTCTTCTGGAGCTTCCTCATCAACGTTTAAACATGCTCACGTCTCCCCAATCCTAAAAAAAAGTAAAGAAAAACAATTCACCACCTTCAACCCCTCTGTATCTTGCTACTGGACCTCATGGTCAATATTCCCCAAAGAACTGTCTGCTCTGCTCTCTCTTTTCTCCCACTGATTTCTGGACCATGCAGTCTGGCTTCTTCTCCCACCTCTGTATGGAAGCAGCTCACATCGAGGTCACCACTGATGCTGCTGTTGCTAAACCCAACAGACGCTGCTGTGCCCTTATCTTCCTGACTTGGCGGTAGCTTTCAACTCCGCTCACAACTCCCTCGTCTGTGGAACATTCCTCCTGGCTGTGGGATTCTGCGCTCTGGATTCCCTCCTCCTCTCACACTGCTTAGGCTCCCTCACCGGTTCCTCTTTCAGCCCCCTGGAGGCCTCTCAGGATCCCACCTGCTCTCCTTGCCCATCGACCTATACCCTTTCCTCCTTCATGTCGATCTTCACCTCTAGGGTCTGGACTCCCCCGTCTCCCCAAGCCCAGGCCAGACATTTGAAAATGGCACTTGGTGGGCCTCTGAAGAGAAATAATTGTGATCATAATGATGATGGGGGAACTGGGGCTGTCAACCAAAGTCTAGAGCAATGAGATCATGGTTCTGGAACAACAGCAGGGCCCTCACCTCCCACATCAGCTACCTGGCCTCCGTTGGGTTGGCAGAAAGAGCTTCTTTTGGGCATGAACCAAGGATGACATCCAATTCTTCTCTGACTCATCATCAAGGGAACTGAACCCAACCTCACTGCTGCATGCAGGCCACATTTTAGGGTCCTAATAGGGACCCTCCACATCAGGGACAGCAGCCAAGACAGGAACAATACGGAAGAAGAGCTGCAGGGTCAGTGCTGGTGGCAGCAGCTGGCAGTTAGCAAACCATGCAGTAGCAGCTGTGTCCTGGTCCTGCTCTCACACCCCGAGACTGGCCCCCCAAGGACACTGCCATGGGTGTGACATGGACCCTCACACTCCCTCCTGGGCATGCTTTGATAAGGATCCTGTCAGGGGGTGGGGGATCCCAGCATTTCCAGTGGGTGGGAGCTCAGAGACAAACAGGATTTGATTTTTTGTGGCTATTGACATCCCTCATTATTAATCGAAGGCCTTGAGTAAGTCAGCTAACTTCTTGGAAGCCCCACTTCTAACCTGTGAAATGGGACCCCTAATATTAATACTCTATAGGTTGTTATTCGGAGTCAGCGATATCACAGGCACAGAGGCTCACTACCTGGCAGCAGGTCTCACCACTATTACTGGTTGCCTCGAGAACCTAGAGAAAAGGAGTCCCAGAGAGAGAAGAAAAGCCAGCAAGCGCCTACAGAATCGTGGACCCCATTGAAGCTGTCGCCTCCTCTGTGGCTGGGGGAGGGAGGGTCCCCATGCATACAGATGGGGAAGGAGGAGCTCCCTCCCCGGCAGAGTGGGAACTCGGTGCCCCCTTTCCTCTGTCACCGAGGCCTATATTAAGAACACTAAATGTCAGCACAGACGCTTTAACTGCTAATGGGTGGGTGAAAGGCAGGTGGGACGCAGGTGTGTTGGAGGGAAGAGAGGAGTCAGGAGGTAGAAAAAAGCAAGGAGAAGGCAGAGTCGGGGAGACAGAAAAGCAAGATTAAATGAATTAGGGTTTGCAGCAGGAGGAAGCAGGCAGCCAGAGGAATGGCAGGACCAGTCCACGGGACGTTCATGACCAGCCCAGGGAAGCTGCGGGGTCAGGGCAGCCTGACTCCCCGAGGGTCAGGAAAGACTGCTGGAGTCTCGGCTTCAAACCCCCGCAAAGACCTCCACTTGGGGCGTGGATGGGGCTGGTGAACGGGCCTGCCTCCCGCAAAGCAGACTGTCTGCGGAGGCGGCTGTCAAAGCAAAGCGCCGTTGCTAAGGGAACCGCCTGGGAAGAGCCTCGTTGGAGATGAAGTCACCCACCTCCGGCAGCCGCGGGGTTCGGGGTACGGGAGGGGCCTGGTGCTTCCCCGGGTCTGCTGTGCTGTCCGCCCAGCCAGGCTTCGGTCCCTGGAGGGCAGAGACCCTGCCTCCTCCGACTGCTCCCAGATCAGGCCACCCATTAGCGGGATGGGGCCGTGCTGATGACTGTTACAAACAGCAATGACCAAAGAAAGCTTGGACAAAGGGTCCTGGAGCAAAGGAGCCTGGGAGGGGACAGTAACGCCTGCCTGCCCAAGGGTCCTCTGGTGCCAAAGGAGTTCCAGAACCCCAGGCCACAACCCTACAGGAGGACATGTGTGATTCCACATGAGGGTTAAAGTGACTTACAAAGGGCTTTCAACTAAATTAGGATGAGCATTTCAGTTAAATGGAGGAGTGCGGGTGGAGAAGGCAGGGCAAAAGTGTGCAAGGACTCTGAGGCCTAGGCTTGGAACCGGCACAGGGTCTCTTCTGTCACATTCTATCATCCAAAGTAAGTCAAAGACCCGAGGGGTGGGGAACCAGGCTCTCCTCTCGGGGATCTGGGGAGAGGCGAAGAATTGCGGCCATTTTTAAATGCAGTCGACCACAGAGGTGATTGAGAACGTGGATTGGACTCAAGTTCTCACTCCCAAACCACTTGCTGTGTGATCTCGGGCACATTGCTTTCCTCCTCTGAGTCTCAGTTTCTTTGTCTAAAAAGTGGTCAAAGCAAACTCCTCCTCCCCCAAGAGTTTTGTGACAGCTCAGAGAGATGGCACATTCAAAGTATCTGGCATGGTGCCTGGGACCTAGTGGGTGCCAGCAAATGTGGTTCCCTCCCTTTATCCTGGGAGACGGGGGACTTCTGCCACCTGGCCAGCCATGGATGAGGATCTGACTGTTTCTTGCTGTGCAGGAAAAGGCTGGGGGCCCGGCTGGGGGTCTGTTCCACCCCCAGCCCCTCCCCACCCTTCCTCTTGCCTCCTCTGGAGCCCTCCTGCTGAGAACTCGGAGCACCCGGGGCCTTAAGGATAGTTAAGTAGCAAACTATGTGTTCATAATAAAATTTGCCGCTTCTCACAGACATCCAATTTGCTTACCATCCAAAGAGAAGAATTGGGTGCCTGCTTCCGAAACGGTTTTAATCTCTGCCATGGAATGCTTCTGGCAGGGTTTTTCAACTGGAAAATAGGAAATGAGTTAGAAACAATGGAGGAACGTGAATAATCTCACTTAAGATGTTTGATCTTGAGATGAGATGAAGTTGAAATCGATTTCCCGGTTCACAGCCTGACACAGCGGGAGCGAGGGGAGGGGGCTGGGGGTGGTGAGACATCCAGGCCTGACTGGCCCCCAGGTCAGGCCCGGACATGGACCCTCCCACACCCCTGGCCCAGGGAACTCCCCCCAGTCCCTGCAAAACTCTGGCAAACTGCATAGTGAGTGGGAGACAACCCTGGTCCCATCGCTCTGAAGGTAGACCTGACCGAAGGTTTCTCCATAAACCAGTATCTTCTGTTAATGGTTGACAGACCAACCAGGCATCTCTTTAACGGATGTTTGCTCTGTACCTTCCATGTGCGGTGGCCTCTCCTAGGCACTGGACCTCGAGACTTGAATAAAACCCACTCCCTATCCTCAAAGAATTTACCAGCATTGGCTAGGTCCAGGATGGAGCATTAGGAGCTAATGTTTATGGAGCCTGCTCTGTGCAGGCATGGGCTAAAGATGCTGCATTCATTAACCTACTACATCCTCACAGAACCTGTGATATGGGGGTTCTTGGACTCTCTTTCCAGGTGGGGAAGTGGGCTTGGAGACAAGAGTATCTCACCCTTCCAAGGACAGGATCCAGGTGTGACTGTAGAGTCTGGGCCCTTTGCACGGGGCATACTCCGCACAGGCAGGTGGTGGAGCCCAGGGAGCCGTGAGGAGGCACAGGCAGCCTGGACCCACGGGAGCCAGATTCTAGGCAGCAGGCAGGACCTGCTGCCCCCGGCCCCGCTCATTGTGAAGCAGCCCACCCTACTTGGAGAGCCCGGCCCCTCTCGAAGCCAAGCCAGGCAGGGTGAGGGGGTACCTATACCCTCATCTTCACGCGGACACGCTCACACATCACCCAACACACAGGCCTAGACAGACACACACATTTATAAATACGTACACACAACACGCACCACCCGGCCAAATGGACCTGGATACGCATACATACGTGCATGCACATATGCACATACACGTGCTCACACATGATCTAAGACTGACAACTCCTGGGGGGCAGAGACCACGTCGGTCTTGCTCACCTCTCTGTCCCCCAGCACAGTTCCTGGCTCATAGTGGGGCCCTTATAAACAGTGATGAAGTTGAATTCGATTCCCACAAGTGTGCACACACACAGACACACATATGTGTGACTTGTGTGCAGGGCGGCTGACGCCAAGGGAGGGGTGGTTAAGACTCTGCAGCTCTCAGTAGGGTTGGACCTTTGCAGGTGGAACCTAGAGGGTGGGCTGGGCCTTGCGGGGCTCATGGCTCTCTGTTCCTGCTCTTCCAGTCTGGCTCGCCTCAGGGAGCCAGCCCATCCAAAGGCGTCTGTCCAGCCTTCCGGGCCCCGAGGCTTCATAGGGTGACCCCAAGCCCCCCATAATGGCTTCCACCAGGGCCTGGCCTCTCGGGGTCCTAGGTTGGGGGTTTAATGCATTATTGATTTCCCCACAAGGGAAAGTGCTGCAGCCATGGGTCCAGGTAGCTTATTTTGTGCGTCGATGACATTCAGGTACTAGTGAAAAATTATACCAATTATTAAATCAGCCATTATTACTTCAAAGTGCAATCAGTTGTCACAGCGGAGAGAGCTTGCACGGCGCGTTATTAGTCGGGCTGTGTGCACAGGGAAAGTGCTGAGAGGGGAGACTTTAACCAAAGGGCAAATGCATGAAATTTACTTAGAAATAGCGATTTATCACCCCTGGGTTTCCTACTGCTCAAATCCAGGCAGACACTTCGCTGGCAGGAGACAGGCTCCGCGGCCGCCCCTGCCTCCTGCAGCTCCCACCCTGACAGGAAATGAAAAATTGAGAAGTCGTTGTAACAGCTTAAAGATGCATTATCCTTTTTGATGTGCAATTTGAGCTTCATATCCAAAGGCAGATGAAATCACAGGCACCCACGCCAGGCAGAGCAGGGCGGAGGGACCCACCTTTCTGAGTTTGGGAAGGGGGCCGTGGGGGCACCCAGCCCAGGCCAGCCCCATCTGGCCCCCGCTGGCCTTTCCAAGCTCGGAGGAGACCAGGGGGCCAGGCCTGGGGTCAAGGAGAGAGAGATGTCCCGCTGGGGTGGAAGGGGAGAGGGAAGAAAGAGATATCGAATGAAGAGAGAAAGATGTAAGGAGACAGAGACACAGAGAGAAAGAGATACAAGACTGTGAAAGAGAGTGAGAAATGAAGGATGGGGCAAAGTGAGAGACAGAGAGAGAGAGAGAGAGAAAGAGAGAAGAAAGATGGACAGACAGACAGAAAACCACCAATGGAAACTAAGTGTGTGCAAATGCTGCTCACCCTGGGGAAGGTGTGTGCACCTGTGAGTGGGTGAGAGTGTGAGTGTGCACAAGTGTGAGGGTCTGTGTGTGCGTGTGTGTCAGTGCCAGTGGGTGACCCTCGACCTCCCGGTCTCTGGTCCAGGCATATGCAGGAGGAAGCAGAAATACCCTTTCTTGGTTTTTATGGATGCCATGAATCCCTCCTCCATTAGCGCACAGGCCAGTGAGGCCCCAGAGCCACCCCCACCATCTGCCAATCCCCCCCACTTACGGCATCAGGCCTGGCATGGCCCACTTACCCCCCGATAGCCCCTGGTCACGGGTCACCTACAGCTGAGGGTCGAGTGAAGCCCTCGCCTTAGCTGCCAGTAGAGGAGAAGGGAAACAGATTGATGACTCAGAAAAACCCGGGAGACTCTTGCCTCCACTGCTGTGTGACCTTGAGCAAGTGACGGCATCTCTCTGAGACTCTCTCCTTATTTGGCAGACAGGCTCAGAGTTGTGTGGAGAGCTGAGATCCTGCGTGGGCCCTTCACAGAGCTCCGGCCAGCCTCAGAGGGCCCGGTCACAGCGCGGCCACAGCTCACAGGGCCCCGAGATGGTCCCCTGTGCTTCCATTCGCCAGGTGCCTGAGGTTGAAGACCTTAGACCCTTTCACCTGACAGGATGCTCCATGGCCTTAAAACCAACCCTGATGTTTAAGGATACCAGATGGCAGGGTAGGGCTCCCAGGAGGACATCAAATGGATGACACACACAAGACCCCATTCTCTACATGCACCTAAAAAAGATGGACGGGAAGCTCTCAGAGAGAGAGAGTGTGCAGCAGAGAGCACTGGCCCGGGCCTGGCAGGTCTGGGCAGCATCCACCTGAATGGAAACTCCTTGAGGGCAGAGGTGTTTGTTCCTCGTGCCCATCACTCAAATATTTGTTGAATGAATAAATCACTTACCACTCTCAAGCTGAGTGACCTTGGGCAAGGGACATCACCTCTCTGATCCTTCACTTTATTATTAGCAAAAGAGTTCCCACTCCACAGACCATGTGAGGCCTGGACCAGATGAGGTGTGTGCAGTCACCTGATGAGCAAGATAGAAATGAGAGTGGCTATTTTTATTATTATCAGTAGGAAGGATAAAAGGAAAGAAGGTTCTATGTTAAGGATGTCTAGGTGACAGAATTAAGGAAGATTTTTATTTTCTTCTTGTTCTTTTCTGAATTTGTCAAGTCCGATCTAGTTTTATAATCAGAAAAAAGTAACAAGTTGACTTTAAAATATGTAAATATTTGGCATCACAAAGTTTTCAGAGAGCAGAGGGGTACAGTGTGTGGCCCCTGAGCCTGGGGACACCCTCACCTAACCTCTCCAGTCGAGGATGAGTTTGCGTCCTGGGCGCTCAGGGCTGCCCTTAGGTTCTGGTGTCCAAGGACACATGTCGGGCCCAGAGTCCCTGACCCTGTTTCCTCCAGCGGGGGATGGAGGGTCCCCCTGGCACGTGTGCAGATTAGGTCCACCTGTTCAAGGTCATGTTCCTGCGACGCAGGCTTACAAAACCTCTGAAGCCACGTCTGACGCCCTTTCTAGCTACACTGACACCAACGTGGGACAGAACGTTCTTCTCTGCCTTCCCAGGAGACTGGAAGCTCATTGCCAACACAGACAGACATGCCTCGGCCAAGACCGCCTGGCCTTTGCAGTTCCCACCTTCCTGGCTCTTCCAATCCCCAAGAACTCTTACAGCAAATCCATGAGGCAGTAGTATTACCCACATTTTAGAGGTGGGGAAGCTGAGGCCCACAGAGGGGGTGCGATTGGCTCCAAGTGCACCAAGGGTGAGGGAGGATCCACTCCAGCCCGCCCGACTCCAGGCCTGTGCCCTTTCTGTAACATCATCTCGCTGCTAAGAGATGGTGGAGAGAAAGTGGAACCAATCAACTCCTCTATTGATTCCAACTTTTCCATCGAGGAGATTGAGCTTCCCATTAGAAAGGGGCAGGCGGAGGGCGGTGGAGGGAACTGGAGGCCCGGCTCAGTGAGGCGGTTGGCAGCTGCCCTGAGCTCAGGTTACCTGACCCAGACGAGAGTGGCCAAGGCCCTGGACCAACAGGCAGCGGAGCATCTCGGAGGTGTCCCGTGCCCTGTCAGGGATAAAGGTGGGCTATGCAATTCCCTACAGTCCTGATGGGCCACAGCTCTCTGGCCTTGGCCATGTTGTTCATCTGTGGTCTATCTGTCTGTCCATCCTTCTGCCTTTTTAGTCATCTAACCTTTTATGAGCTCCTTTTCCACGTCAAGCACCATGCAAGATACTAGGTTCCCAAGGGGACTGCAGCACGCCCACAGTCCAGCAGAGGGGGGTGGGGGTGGGGCTGCAGTTTATCCCGTTTCATGATTTTATCAGTGATCTGGGTGACCTGCAAGGGACTGGCAGATCACTGAGCTGATGAGCTAAGCTCCAGGCCACAAAATAATCCAGATTTAAAATCCTCCTAGGAGTTGGTCCTTCTTCTGTCAGAAGGCTCATTAGCATTTATTATTTTCCCTGCCTTAGAATGGAAGCTTGATGAGGGCAGGGACCCTGGCTGTATTTCTCACCATTGTTCTTCCAGCACTCGACATGGTGTCTTGCACATGGTTGGGGCTCAATAACTATTTATTGGGTGGATGACGGATGGATGGATAGATGATGGATGATGGATAGATGGATGGACGGATGGATGGATGGATAGATGATGGATGATGGATAGATGATGGGTAGGTGATGGATAGATGGATGGACGGATGGATGGATGGGTAGATGGATGGATGGATGGATGGATAGATGGATGGATGAATGGATGGATGGATGGATGGATGGATAGATGGATGGATGGATGGATGGATGGATGGATGGATAGATGGATGGATGGATAGATGGATGGATGGATTGATGACTGAAGTGTTTGTAGCTCAGAGAGGCTCCAAGTCTCATATGTGAAGCAGTTTAGAAGCTTTTCTCTTCCATGCAGTTGTTTCTGTAGCATACATATCCCTTTTTGATTTGTTCACCTCAGGTGAAGAGCACTCACTACCTAGCCAAGCAGCCCACTCCATGGCTGGATGGCTCTCACTGGTGAGTCCCTGCCTGGTCCAAGCCGGGACTGGGGAGCTGCCTCCCACCATTAAGTTTAATCCTCCATGAAATAAATTAAATTATATCATTGAAGGCAGTGACTCTTCTCATCTATGGACAAAGTGTCCCTCTGTGTCCTTCATCTGTTTTCCTCATTACGTGGACTCCTTTTGCATCTGGGTAGTTCTGAGCTCACTTGGAATTATCAAGATAGTTCTTAAAGTGGGACTCCCTGAGGAGGAAACAGTCTGGGTAGATTCCCACTAATTCAGAAATGATCGGTACTATCACCTCCTTTGTTCTAGACTCTGTATATCTATTAAAATAGCCTGAGATCAGATCAGTGATCTAACATATGGGGAGGTACTTAGTACTGTGTCCGGCACAGCATTATACAAATTGTGCTGGGAGTTTCAAGAACCATTCAGACACATTCAGAGCCAAACAAGATCCAAAGTCAAAACAAGCCTGGGATATTCATGCTGCAGAAATGACTGTTAATAAAATAAAGGAGATCAAACGGGGTGACGAGGTAGGGATGCCCAGCACAGCGTCTGGCACATATTAGGGGTGGGGCAGCTCTCTTTCCAGGCTGTGTCACACTTTAGGCACCTACTGGATTGGGATCAACTTCAATACCCAGATCTTCATCCCATGAACCAGGTCACAGACTCGCTCTCCTGCTGCCCTCCTGAAGCTGGTAACGGAGGACTTCGGATTGAAACGGCCCTTGTATGTGCAGAGCACCTGCTGCGTGCTCAGAGCCTAGCTCAGCGCCTTACTGACGTCATCTCTTGCTACATTTCATCTTGGTGGTTGGGAGTCATTCCTTCCTCTTATTCACCAGCGTTTAAGGAGTGCTCACGGTGAGCCCGGCCACGTGAGGAGATGAGGGTGAGAGGCCAGCCTTGGGTCCGGCCCACGGGTCAGCAGAAGTGCAGGGGAAGGAGGTGGGAGCCTATGCTGGGCTGTATCCAGAGAGTTCATCTCCCACAGAGATGGGGAGAGGGTCTCCCAAGTTAAGGAGGCGCCCGATCTCAGGGGTGTACAAGTGTGCACCTCCTTAAATTTCACACCTGCAGTCCCTTTCTGGCTTCGCCCTAGTCCCACCCCTGTGTCACGGAGTGTTGCCCATGGAAGAAGGAATTCACTCCTGCAGACAGCCCAGTATGAGGGGCCTAGCTTGGCAGGGGTGCTCCTCCGGCTGCAGGGGGGAAGTGGGGATGAGCAGGTCAGGGGTGGAGAGGCAGCTTAGGGAGGCGGCGAGGTGGGAGGGCGGCAATCACTCACACCTTAAACGGACACAAGTCACTCAGTGGATCAGCAGCAAAAACTGCTCTGATTCGTAATAGGGAAGGACCAAACGTGCCTCTCTGGGAGGGAGGGCGGTTTCTCCTGGGCTCCCGGGCACTGGGACAGGAGATTGTGCCTGGCCTCCCAGCCGAGGGCAGACAGCCCAGACCCTTCCCCCATCTGTGAGTGGCTGGGCTGCCGAGGGAGGGCCCAGGGCAGGCGGAGGCTGAGAGGTGGGAAAGGGAAGGAGGTGTGACTTTAGGCGCAGAGGGAAGGCCCCAGAGGCCTCCTGGGCCGGGGGAGGGAGCTCCCAATTACAACCTCCATCAGGCCTTGGAAGGCTGCACTGTGAAATGAGAGCCAGAGCAGGCAATTGCCTCTGGCACAGGGAAAACTCCAGATCTATAACTTCCTGGAACATAATTAGCTGCTAACTTCAAAGATGCATTGGGGTTTGTGTAATAGGCACCGGGGCCGCTCAAGAACTGCAGGATCTGGGAGAAAAATGGGGCCGTCTGGCTTGGAAATGGAATGAGACAAAAGGCTTCCAATTCAGCGCCGTCTTCACCTGAGACCTGAGAAAAATAATAATGATGATGATAACTCCCTTTTACGGAGTGTTTGCCGAGTGCCACACGCTCTGCTAAGTGCTTCCTATTCGAGCTCTTCCCGTGTTCACGTGTCTCCAGGAGGTGGGTTTACTATCAGAAACGACAGGCGACTGTGCAGAGGTCAGCGACACACACAACTCTGACTTCAGAGTCCCAGCTCCACCCACTGTCTCTGCTGTGCCATCGCTGCTCCAGAAGCCCCGCGTCAAGTCACTCACACCTTCCTGGGGGGGAGGCTCTAGGGAACCAGCGCTTGGAAACGGCCTTCTCCTTCTCCCCTTCACGCTCACCCAGCCCGCTCGGATGGAGAGTGACACCCAGACGGAGGCAGAGAAACCGGGGGATGTGGCCCTCCCGGGCCTCCCTCCCAGGGGATGTATGAGCCGGGGGGAGCTATGCTGGCTGCTGTACCCAATCAGCTCCCAAACTGCACCGGCGTCTTACGATAGAGGTTCATTCCCACTCGGGTAAAGGGATACAGTCCACTGGCATGCGGAGGGCTGTTTCTGCTCCACGTGGTCATTCAGTGACCCAGACACCTTCTGTCTGTGGCTCTGCTGTCCCCTAGGGCCTCAAAGTTGTGTGTGGGATGCTTGACATTGGGCAGCAGATCAAGGAGGAACATACAGGGCTGCACAGATCAGCCCAGAAGTGCCTCATGTGCAGGCGTACCTCACCTCCAGGCGTACCTCACCTCCAGGCGTACCTCACCTCCAGACGTACCTCACATCCAGGCGTACCTCACATCCAGGTGTACCTCACCTCCAGGCGTACCTCACCTCCAAGCGTACCTCACCTCCAGATGTGCCTCACCTCCAGCTGTACCTCACCTCCAGGCGTACCTCACCTCCAGGCGTACTTCACCTCCAGGCGTACCTCACATCCAGGTGTACCTCACCTCCAGGCGTACTTCACCTCCAGCTGTACCTCACATCCAGGCATACCTCACCTCCAGGCGTACCTCACCTCCAGGCGTACTTCACTTCCAGGTGTACCTCACTTCCAGGTGTACCTCACTTCCAGGTGTACCTCGCCTCCAGCTACATTCGATTGGCCAGACTCCGTCACATGGCCATGTCTTTGCAATGGAGACTGGGAAGATAGAGGAAAGGAAAATAATGAAAATTATTGAAGTGCCACAAGGAGTGAAGCTTGACCCATCCATCCATCCATCCATCCATTCATTCATTCACTCGGCCATTCAAAACTTAAGGAGCCCCTGGGCCTTAAGTAGCTTGCTGGGCACTGTCTTTCGGATAGAGCAGCGAGTGAAACAGACCATGTCCTCGTACCCACAGAGTTAGAGCCCAGAGGGAAAGAGGAGCACAAAGCACAGCAACGCCGTACGTTTATTCTTACTCATGTTGTTTTAAGTACTGCAAGAAAGGACAGGGGGCTGCAGCAGCATGCGGCGCTGGGGCCTGAGCAAGTCTGAGGAATCCAGGAGGGCTTCCCCGAAGAAGTGACTGGGTCCTGAGGAATGAGGTCTAGAGAGTTCTTGCCCCTGGAAGCAGCCCCGGATCAATGAGGAGGGACATCAACACATAAACACCCAAGCTTTCCCACCATTCAGCTGGGACAACTCTGAGGCCAGCTCTGCAATGTCTCGGAAGCCTCCCAGCAGAATTTTCCCCAGTCACCCACAACGGGAACCTGTCCGACGACTCCCCCTTTGTCAGCTTGCTTCCTTCCCTCTCTCTTCCACATTCTCACACTGGTATTTCCTGGGATCACTTCTCAAATACACACTTGCTCTGAAGTCCTTCTCTCAGGTTCTGGTTGTGGAGGAGCCCAAATCAAGACAACACGTTTACTCCTTAGGAGGTTATATGACTGGTGACCCATCCTCTCGGTGGTTCTCTGCCTGGAGGATTATCGACGGCCAGTGGCTAACACCAGGCAAGGCATACCTTCCAGGTCCCCTGCAAGTCAACCAAGTGCCACACGGCTGGTGTAAACCACAGCTCCACCCCATCTAGTTTCTCCCCACCTCCCTCTCTGGGCCCAGATCTTGGGGTCTGGACCCTTCCGCAAAGGAGCATCTGTTCTGTGAGCAGTGAGCCACTCCCCTCCCCGCCCCCCACCGAGGAAGTGGTTCTAAGCTAGCTTTCTCATAAACGGTTCTCAGATGGAAGAAAAGCAGCTGTCGCTGAAGCCACGTCAATCTGAGCGGTAAAAGGTTTGGGCAAAAACATATTTTATTGTTCTTGCTGTCAGAAACACAAAGATTTAAGGGGCATGTGACTCGGTAATTGCTGTGGACTTTTTTCTCCCTTGACAATAAACATAAAACTTAAAACTGTATTAAAATCATTTGACAATTTTTATGCTCAAAGAGCCCAGAATGAATAATGGGTTTTTTTGCATCTAAAATGCACTCTCTCGTCAACCTATAAAACTGTCAGAAATAAATTCATCAAAAGCAGATTATATAATTAAAAGTCGCTATTTGTGTCTCTGCCCGGTTGGGACCAGAGCTGTTTCTCTTTCTCTCTCTCTCTCTCTCTCATCCACCTTTTTAAATTTTTAAATTTTTTTAAGTTCTAGATGAAGGCAAACTCAAGCCATGCTGCTTTGTCTGGGGGAGATGATAAAATAAGGGATTCCCTCAACAAACCCGGATTTCCTGCTCCGGCCAGCCCTCACCCGATCCTAACCTCAGCAGACGACATGATCTCACCCAACCAGGGCAATTTTGGGGTGAGTCGGAGAGGAAAACACCTGGGGCAGCACTCCTTTTTGTGACCTGGCAACAAGAAAGGGAGGATGTGGCAGAGATTGCTAGTGGATGTCAATCTCCCATGTTCTCCTCCTGCTCACACTGAAGGATGACACCTCCCAGACCCGTTGCCATTAGGAGGACCTATGTGACTCGTTCTGCCCAGTGGGCTGTGAGCACAGGTGGTGTGTGTCGCTTCTGGGCTGAAGCATTGAAGTGCTGGTTTTCAACCCTCCAGGCCTTTCTCACCCTCCACATGTGTTCTCAAACGTGCAGCTACAGGAGCGTGGAGTCTCCGACAGCCTGGCTCACTGAGTCCCTGCCCGGACGACGTGGCCCTGGGGAGGCACCTAGACCAACGACGAGATTTGTGTGTTAAGCCACGGCAACTTGGAGGTCTCTTTGCTACCTCGGCAGAACTGAGCCCACTCTGTTTTAAAATGTAGGTTTTACTATTATTCAAGTAAATCAAGAGATGGTTGCCGTTGTGAGACGGTTTGTCATACTCACGGATCCCAAGAGGAGGGGGCATGCCCCGCCATGAGGGGCCACACAGAGAAGCCCCAGGGTCCATCAGGAGGAAGAGGGAGTGAGGGGAAACATGGACAGGAGTCTTTATTGAGGCTTCCACGAGAAAGAACAGGCGAGGCAGGGTAAGCAGGCCTAGGACTGGCTAGTTGGAATAACTCAGCAGGCTCTGGGGCACAGGGCTGCCCCTAACTGTTCAGTATCTGCCCTAGGGTGATGAGGACAGGGGGATAAGGCCCAGAGTGTCAGAGCCCCACAAAGGAGGAGGCTGCGGACTGGGCTCTGACTTGGTTGGTTTGCATTTGAAAGGCACGCTCCCAGGCGAGTTGTTGACTGTCTCTAGGAATTGGCTAACCCAGGGAGGGGCGGTCCTCCCAGTGTCAGCAAGGCCCCCAACATGTCAAAGCATCAGGAAAGAGAATTAATAAAAGGCATGCTCAATGCACTGACCAAGACAGGGGATTCTGGTGATTTTCTAGCGGGGAAAGGACTAAATGCTAACTCCGATGGGCCAAGGAATACTGGGTGAGAAAAAAGAAGGGGATATGGTGTGGGGAGAGGTGTGGAGGTAGGGGAGGCATATGGAAAGTTTGGGGGCGGCGAAGAGAGCAGACTGGTGGGGCTCAGGGGACCAGGGGAAGAGAAAGCAGTGTGCAGTCAGCAGGGGCCCAAGGGCAGAGGCCTGGAGGCCAAGGGCTGGCTATGGAGCAGTGACTCTAGACTCTGCCCCCAAGGGAGGAACCCAGAAAGAAGAAGAAATTAGCAGGAGGCTGGCCGACCCAGAGGAGCACAGAGTTCTCTTCTCCCAGCTGGTGTCTGTTCACCCTGGGACCTCCCTCATTAGGGCCGAGCCAGAAACCTCCCACAATGGGACCAGTTGTCCAGATGGGTCTCACGAGCCCCCCTGGAGTTCCATGGCTCACTGACTTGTCCCCTGGGGCGAGTCCCTCAAGCCTGCTCCCAATCAGGCCCCACGCAGCTACCTTCCTGTCCTTGGGTGCTGACCCTAGGGTCTCCTCAAATTCTCCTACCCAGTAGGCTTGGCTGGGATAAGGAGACTGAGCAGGCCAGGCCTCAGGTCACGGGGGTATGAAACAGGAGAGGAGACTCCGAGATGGGAAGAGGAGGAGAAAGAGCGAAGGGAGAGAGGGAGGGAGGTGCTAGGTCGGTCACACTCTTTGAGCCTTCACTGGGCACCAGGACTTCGCTTCCACTGCCCCACAGAATAGAGAATCTGAGCCCCATTTCACAGACAAGAAAACGGAGGCTCAGAGAAGCTCGGCAAGTGGCAGCCGCTTGTCCAACAGGAAGTCGATCTGGGTCCAAAGCCTGCTTGGAAAGCAGAATATCTAGGGCTTCTCAGGTGAGTGGAATGTTCCACCTCAACCAAGTCCGAGCCATGGGGACGTGGGGACTTACTCTCAACCTGGGGCAGAGGAGACAGTGCCTGGAGGGGACCCTCTCTGACTTCAGAAGGTCCCCAGGCTGTGCAGCCTTCCCCTTCAAGCTTGGGCGGTTTCTATAAGCCTTTCTTACCATCCTAAAGACGAATCCTCCTATTTTTATTTTGCCAAGAGAGGTTTTTCCATGAAATGGATGCTGAATGTTATCAAATGCCTTTTTATCATCCCTGTTTTTCCCTTTTGGCCTATTAATATGATGAATTAGATTAATAGAGTTCCTAAAATAGAACTGTCCTTGCTTTCCAATAAGATACCCTACCTGGTCATTGTGGAATATTCATTTAATATATTGCTAGATTCAATTTGCTAATATTTTATTTAAGATGTTTGCATCTATATTTGTAAATGAGATTAGCCTGCAGCCTTCCTCTTTTGCCTCTCTTTTGTCAGGTTTATTTAGCTTTGTAAATGAGTTGGAAGGGCTTCTGGTTCTGGAAATACTGTGGACCAGACATCTCAAAAATCTTCCTGCCATAAACACCTCGAAAAGCTCAATACAGTGTAGCGAAGCTGGAGCTTACAGAAACGTAGAGGAAATTTCCAGGAGCAAGAAATAAAGTGGGAAATGACACCAGAGAAGTAAGCAGATAAGCTGTCCTAGCAGGTGGCTGGGGACAGGGGAGAGAGAAAGGTGACGCTCACAGGGACAGGAGACAGGGCTCCGGGTCTGAGTTAGGGAAGAAGTTGGACCTGACATCCCTGGGGGCTGTGCCCTCAGAGAAAGGTGGGCTTGAAATGGTGCAGGCAGAACAAAGAGAATGGGAGAAACAGCATTCAAGGAGAGATGACTGAGGATTGTCCAGAATTGATTAAAAACATTCAAAACTCACCAATAAACACATGAAAAGGTGCCCAACACCGTGAATCATTAGGGAAATGCAAATAAAAACTACAGTGAAATGCCACCTCATACCCATTAAGATGGCTACCAGCAAGAAAACAAAAATAACGAGCAGTGGCGAGGACGTGGAGAAATTGGAACTCTGCGCCCTGTTGGTAGGAAATGGTGCAAGTATTATGGAAAACAGTGCAGTGATTCCTCAAAAATTAAAAATAGAATTACTATGTGATCCAGCAATTCCACTTCTGGGTACATATCCAAAAGAACTGAAAACAAGATCTTGAAGAGATGTTTGTACACCCACGTTCATAGCAGCATTATTCACAACAGCCAAGGTATGGAAGCAACCCAAGTGCCCATGCATAGATGAAATAGATGAACCAAATGTGGCATATACCAACAATGGAATATTATTCAGCCTTGAAAAGGAAGGAAATTCAGACACATGCCCTGACATGGATGAACCTCGAGGATCTTATGCTCGGTGAAACAAGCCAGTCACAAAAAGACAAATGCTGTATGATTCCACTTATATAAGATACCTAAAGTATCTTATAAGTCAAATTCATAGAGATGGAAAGTAGAATAGTGGTTACCACGGGCTGGGGGAGGGAGAAACGAGGGATTGTTTAACGGGTATAAAGTTTCAGTTTTGCAAGATGAAAAGAATTCTAGAGACGGTTGTACAACAATGTGAATGCACTGAATCAGACTGAACTGTACACTTAAAAAATGCTTAAGATGGTAAATTCTATGTTATGTATAATTTATCATAATTTGAAAACATAATAAAATTTTTTGACTATTTACAACTCAAGAAGTCTAATGTGTCTTGAGAAGAGTAAATAAAACTGAATCCATATCCTGACACACCGTAACGAAATTGTAAAACACCAAAGCAAAGGAAGAGAACTTTACAAATAATCAGAGAGAAGAGAAAGATGATCAATAGAGAACAGAAATTAGACAGGAAGGAGACTTCTGCCAACAACAGAAGCCAGAAGACAACGCAATCACATCTTCAAAGTGATGAGGGAGCATAACTGTCAACTTAGAACCCTGTACATAGCTGAATTACCACTCAAGAATGAGGGAGAAATAAACATAATTCTCAGACTGCTTCTGAAATAACTACTAGAGGATGTATTTCAAGTAGAAGGAAATTGAACCCAGAAGGAAAGAGTAAGATGCAAGAACAGTGGTGAGCAAAGAAATTTTTAAACATGGGTAAATCTAAACAAGATTTGGGCTGTATAGACCAATAATAATGAATTTCAGAGGTACAAAAATAAAACAGGACTAAAATACTGGACGCGTATAATTTGTAAGCCTAGAGGGGATAGTAAGAGTTAAAATGCTTAAGGTTTTGAAAGAGGAGGGTCTTTATCATTGATTAGCCTTAATATTTGCTAAGTCAAGTATTAACGTTAGCAAGTTAGAGGTAAGTTTCTAATGCCTACTATTCTCCAATAGAAAGAACGAGAGGTCCTTGGAGAAATGGCTGATTCTAGGACTGTGAGAGGAAATACATAAAAGGAACCTAGAGTATTTTCTGTGCCAGAAAGGAAGAAAGGAGTACACACACACGCACGTGCGCGCGCGCACACACACACACACTGATAGGACTATTTCAAAGGTATAGAGGAACAAAGTGAATAAGCTCCCAGTGGCCAAAGTTGAAACAATTTGAGCAACGAAATAAATAAAAGAGTTTAGGATCATACTCAAAATATAAAGTAAATATCTGTGAGATCATATTTATATAAATTCTTGAATTAAGAAATAAATGGGAGAGAAGAGACAAGTCTTGTGTGCAGAAGAATTCCAAATAATTTATGTCAACATTGTGCCCTGGGAAAGGTGGAATGTAACGCCCCCTCCTCAGGTGTGGGCTGCACACAGCGAATGCCTTCACATAGCGAATCTCTGCCAAAGAGTAAAGAGAATGTGGAAAGGGGGGAGAAAAAGCAACTTTACAGAGGGGAAACCTGACAAACACACCTCAGCCAGGTGGCCAAGGCCAGCATCTACAGAGATGAGTCATGTCGATACCTTTGATATGATGCGATACCAAAATGGCAATGAACTCTAGGATTTCCCTCTCCAAAATCCATAAAGCCAGCCTAATCATGAAAAAACCACCCAAAAAAATCCCAATTGAAGGATAGTCTACAAAATAACTGACCAGTACTCCTCAAAACTGACCAGTACTATCATCAAAAACAAGGAAAATCTGAGAAACGGTCACAGCCGAGAGGAACCTAAGGAGACATGAACGTAACGAGGTGACCTGGATGGGATCCTGGAATAGGAATAGAACATTAGGTAAAATCTAAGGAATTTATGAATAAAATATTTCCCTTAGGTAATAATAATGGATTGATATTGGTTCATTAATTGTAACAAATAAACCACACTAATACAAGATGCTAATAATAGAATTAAGTGTGGGGAGGATGAGAACCTCTGTTCTGTCTCCACAATTTTTCTGTAAATCTAAAACTACTCTAAAATTAAAAGTTTATTTTTAAACAAATTAAAGGTAACCACAATAAGACTAGAAATAGAACGGAGAAGGAAGAAAGGGAGTATAAATTCAACCAATCCAAAGAAGATAGGAAAATAAGCAAATAAAAAGTATTTTTAAAACGAAAAGTACAAATTATAGAACAGAACTAAATGTAGACCTATTGGCTGCTTAAAACAAATATAAATGGACTAAACTCTATCCAGTTACACGGCAGATTTTCAGACTGAACTTTAAAAATCAAAATCTAGTTCTTTGTGGACAAGAAAAATTGAAAGTAAAGGGATAGGAAAATTATACCAAGCAAATTTTAACCAATAAATGTTGGGGTGGTTATATTAATATAAGGAAAAAAAAATCAGACTCTAAGGCAAAAACTACGGTTAGGTAGAATGAGTATCAATAGCACACAATGATGAAAGAAACACTCCACCTGTAATATGCAATATTTATGTTATATTATTATGGGTACACCTAATACCACAGTCTCACAAAAAATATAAGGCAAAAAATGTAATAGATTATCTTTAAAATTGACAAATCCACTATCATCGTGGAAAATTTTAAACAGACTCAGTTAGTAATTTATAGAGGAGACAGATAAAAATTTTGTGAGGAGACAAAACATTTGAATAAAACAATTAACATGCCTAAATATAATGAAAAAACATAGGACCCTGCAAAAAACAATTATAGAAAACTTATTCTCTTCAAGCACCTAAGAAATGTTTGCAGAAATGACAGACACCAGGCCACAACACAAACCTCAACAAATTCCAAAGAGCTGCTAGCATACAAATCATCTTTTCTGACCACAATGCAATTAAATTAGAATTAACAAAAAAGATAAGGAATGACATTTCATGTTATAGCACAGTTGTAAATAACTTATGGATCAAAGAGAGAATACTTATGGATAATTCAAACAGTACATATCAAAACTTATGGGATGCAGCTAAAGTTGTACTTGGAGGGCAAGGCATAGACTTATATTACACAAGAAGAGAGAATGAAAATTAATGTTAAGCACCCAACTCAAGGAATTAGAAAAACAATAACAAAGTAACCCAAAGAAAGAAAAACGAAGGAAACAATAAAGATAAGAGCAGAAAATAATTAAATCTAAAACCAAACAATGATAAAATCAACAAAACCAAAAGCTAGTTAAGAAAAAGAGAAAGCACAAATACGTGATATTAGGAATTAACAAAGAAAAGAAACACAGAGAAAATAGTGATCTTAAAAATCACAAAACAATGTTTTGAACAACTATATGCGAACAAAATTGAAAACCTCATCCAAAATTCCCAATTTGCTGGGAAAATGTAACATACCAAAACTGTCTTAAGAAGAATTAGAAACTCTAAAGAGACCAGTAATCATTAAAGAGTTGAATCATTAATGTAAAATCGAATGCAGCCTCCACCCAAAAACCCACCAGAACCAGATGATATAGTCAACCTCTAGCAAGCATTCAATGAACAGATAATCAGAGTTGTGTGAGTCAGGGTTCATCAGAGAAACAGAACCTATAGGAGATATACATAAATAGCCAAATAAATAAATAGATTTATTACAAGGAATTGGCTCACCTGATTACGGAGGCTGACAACACCCAGGAGCTACAGTTGGCAAGCTGGAGACCCAGGAGAGTGTAATTTCAGCCCAAATGCTGGCAGGCTTGAGACCTGAGAAGAGCCAGTGTTTCAGTTTGAGACCAAAGATGGAAAAAAACCAATGTCCCAGCTCAAAGCAATCAGGCAGGAGGAGTTCCCTCTTACTGTGGGAGGGTCAGCTTTTTTGTTCCATTCAGGCCTTCAACTGATTGGATGAGGCCCACCCACATTAGGGAGGGCACTTTGCTTTACTCTGTCTACCAACTCAAATGTTAATCTCATCCAAAATACTTCCACAGACCACCCAGAATAATGTTAACCAAATATCTGGGCAATCCATGGCCCAGTCAAGTTGACACACAAAATTAACTATCACACCAGTCTTAAACAAACTATCTCAAAGAATAGAAGAAGTGCTGTTTCCCAACCCTTCTAGGAGGCTGGTGATATCTTAATTCAAAAAAAAAAAAAAAAAAGGATGACAATATGATAAAGGAAAATAGGACTTTATGTCACGAACATAGAAGCAGAAATCCTGAAATATTAATAGACAAAATCCAGCATTGCATAAAAAACGGCAAAGTCGGATTTAAACTCATAATTTATTATGAGGAAATCCATGTAATTCACTACGTTGACAAATTAGCAGAGAAAAACCATAAAGTTATTTCAATATATCTATAAAAAAGCATTTGATAACGTTCGATACTCATTCACGAAGCTTTCGTTTGCTATTTCCGGGCTTCGTTGTCTGAGGGGAGTAAGAAGGGTGCGACACCGAGGCGCACACGTCACGGGAACATCCATGCTCTGCGCAAGAACCTCGTCTCTGAGGCTGGGCTTGCAGCTCCAGGTGGGCTGGGTGGGCCCTCCCTCTCTGTCTGCACGGCTGGCCGCACCAGGACCCAGCTGAGGTTGCCACTCGCTCCACTGAGCCAGCTCCAAGGACAGCTGCATGCTGGCCCCTGGGCTCGCTGTGTAAGGCATTACGGAAGCTGCCCCCCTGCTCCTGCCCCCAGCCCACCTCCTCCCAGGCTCTGCCTCCCTGTGCTTGGCTGGGTTATGGAGTTCTGACGGGGACCCCTTACACTTAGGGAGGCCACCTAGCCTGGCAGTTGAGAACATGGGCTCAGGAGTTAGATGGGCCCGCCTTCAAGTCCTGGTTCCGCCACTTATTAGCTGTGTAACCATGAGCAAGGGACAGACTCTCTGTGCCCCGGCTTCCTCTTGTGCAAAACAGGGTCAATGACAGCCCCTCCTCCCTGTGCAGGGATGAGGGCCCACTGTGAGACGACGTGACTTTCTTGGCCCAGGACCTGGCACATGGTAGCTGCACAATGGCGAGAAGTTCTAATTACTCCCAGGATGCCCCTCCTCCTGACGCAGTGTGTCCCACAAATGGCTAGGCCTGTCCCCAGGCAGCTTCCTCCTGTATTGGTAGAAATGCTTCCAGTTTCTAATGCATCAGCGTTACTCTCCCCTGCCTTCCTGGGGGTGCACGTCCCCTGCACTCCCCCATTTTTATATCCCTCAGTGATTTCAGAGGGAAGGGGAGGAGCGGAGGATGCAGTTGCAAAGGCCCAGTCCCCATCTTGTTCCACAGCCCGACTCTCCACGCCCGTTTCAGCTTGCTCAGGCCAATCTTCCCGAGCCACAGGACTTGGCTTCCCGTCAGCCCTGAGTACTGTGGGCTCCCCAGGTTTGAGACCACACAGCTTGAGGGAGAGAGTCCCCCTCTTGCAGCCTGGGCCCTACAGAACCCCACCAGCCACCTGCCCCTGCCCTCCTTCCCTCCATCCCAGCCAAGCCGGGGCCTGGGGAGGATTCAAGTGAGCCATCAGAATTTCGCTTCCCAGACCAGGAAGATATTTTGGAGAGAGGCTGAGCAAGATGATGGGCAAAGATTTAACCTGCTACCTTCTTTGGGCAGCAGCACTGGGAAAGAGCTGAAAGGTAAGACGCACAGGGTCAGAGACAGACTAGACCCAGGGCTACTCACCTAGAAGGAAAACAACCACGATAGCCAACTGCCAGTGCTTGTTGAGAGCAGGTGGTGGGCTGAGCACACGCACACCACCATTTATCCCCAGAACAATCCTGTGAGGTAAGCCTGTTATTATACCCATTCAACAGATGAAGGACCTGAGACCCAGAGAGGAGAAGTGCCTTGTCCAGGGTCACACAGCCAGCGAGTGGTTGATCTGGCACTCTCCCCAACGTATGATGGATTCCCAAGTCCACGCATCTAACCATTGCTCTAGACTGACTCCCATTAGAATCCGGAAACCTTGGCCGAATCTGTTTCTTACATTTGCCCCACCATCTGTGGGGTACTGAGAGGCCCAGACCCCGAGGAGCAGCATGGATGTCCATTGCCCTCTCCCATGGCCAGCATCCCCAGCTCCCCCTTTCCTCCCTCCAAAGCCAAAGCTGGGATTCAGGGGGTGGCCAGCCTGGGACCACCCACACCCTCTTCTGGCAACTTCCACTCCAGCCACAGCTGCGAGGGGCAACATTTTCCAGAGTTGGCACAGTGGGCTTTTCCGATAACATCTGACTTGGCTTTTAATTATTGGGAAGTGATTGTTGATTTACGCAGAAATATTTATCCAGCAAATTGCTAATTAATGCACTGAAGAATGTCAAGCGGTGTCAAATATTTGCTTTTGTTTGCAATACCAAAATATTTTTATTTTTGGTGAGGAGCAGAATCTATGAGAAGGTACTAAGGTGTTTAAATAGGGTATGTAAAGTTTAAGCAGAAAATCAAACAGGGAGGAAGGCCGGGTTTTGTGGCTGGGGCTCTGGGGTGCTGTGTGTTCCGGAGGATGCTCAGAGGTAGCCCAGAGAGCAGTGAGCCCCAAATCTCTTCTAGAATGTGCAGCCTTTGAGATGCAAAGGGCACCAGAGAGCCACGGACAGGGACATCTGAGGGACCAGGATCACCGTCACTAAGTCCCTCCCCGCCTCCCCTCCCTCAGCATCATGGTCACCTCTCCCTGCCACAGCCACCGTCACCGCCTTCTCCGTCACCGCCCATTCACTCATTCATTACATTCCATACTTTGAATCCACACGATGTGCTGGACATCATTCTGCTGCCAAGCAGCTAAGTCCCTTTGCTCACAGAGCTCCCACTGGATTTCAGCACCCAGTAAGCAAGAAAACAAACGAATAAGAGAATATCAGAGGGTGGTAAGTGCTAGCAAGAAAATAAATCTAGGGAAGTAATAAGGAGGAGTTACTTTAGATTGGCTGGTCAGAGTAGGTCTTTGGGTGGGGGGGCGCATCTTAGCTGAATGACACAGAGGAACCAACCACATAAACATATGGGAACAGAACTTTCCAGTAGCGTGAACAGAAGGTGCAAAGGCTCAGAGGCAGGAAGGAACGTAAGGCAGGTAACCACCATGCACGGAGCAGAGTGGCCGGGAGCAAGGGAAGAGGCGATATTGGCGGGGCCGGGTGGGTGCCCCATTTCCGGGCGTGAAGAGGGAGTCAGGATTTTACTCTCCTCTCTGGGGAGCCTCAGCGAGCTCCGAGAGACGAGTGATGGGCTCTGGTTTACTTTGGAAAAGCTCCCTCTGGCTGCGGCGTGGAGAAGGCGTCACGGGGCCAAGCGTGGAAGCAGCAAGACCCTGGCAGCTGACTCCTCAAGCTGCAGAGTCCAGGCGACAGGCAGCCAGAACAGGCCAGGGTGGGACGCGGAGATGCAGAGAGGGAGGTGTGTTTGCAGGGGGGCCCAGAGGCGTGCTACTGGATCCCATATAGGGGTGCTTGGTGCCCGGAAAAGAGGAATCGCCGCCTTCACAGCCATTTCATCGTTGTCCATAACCCCTGAGCTCCTGTGTATTAAGGATTTACATGGGATATTTACTTTATGCGCTGCTCTGTCGCAAAAGGATCACCCACGCCACGAGGGAGGTATTATTGCGCCTTGTGGGACTAACCTGGCCTTGCCAATCCACTGAAAGCACCGAAGGTTGAGCTGGAACCGGCAAGCATCCCCTTATTTAATCCAGACCTCGGATGCTCATCCCCCTGCCAGGCCCAGGACCCAGCGTGGGGCTGGTTGACGAAGCTGAACTGCGTCTGCGCACTCCCGGGCCTCTGCGGGCCCCGCCCCCGGCAGGGGCGTCTGCTTTCTCTCAGGCTGGCATCATCACCCCATTTTACAGATGCGTAAAGGGGTCTCCCCGCATTTAACTTTGTTCCCATCAACTCACTCGCCGACTAGAATTCTCTTTCTGAAGCGCGCACCTGACAAGGTCGTCCCTCTGTCCCACTGGAGCTGGCTGCTCCTCCCCTACGCCGCCTCCCTGCCCCATCCCCCACCACTGTCCCTGCTTCCGAGGCCCACAGCCTGCCAAGCGCCAACTCCGGGACCTTGCCTGGACCCTGCTTCCCTGCATCCCATCTTGCCGCACTGCTCCTCCTCCCGGCCGGCCCCCACCCCTCCTCCAGGACTCAGCTCAAAGCGTCCCTCCCCGGGGTAGTCTACCTCGGCACAGATGCCAGTTTGGCACAGACCTGGTTTGTGACACTCGTTGCCGCTTGTAATCATCCGGCTGCGCTGTGCTGGGTTACGATGTTCACAGTCACTGGGAGGGTTGGGAAGGTTTGTGGCTGCCACTCTTCCCTCCCCTGTCACTGCGTGGGAGTTTTGGGGGTGGGGGTGGTGCTTTGCCTGGCCACACACCTGCACTGTGGCTTCCCTTTCTTCTGTTAACTAAACGTGCCCCAGATCCCGGACCAGTACAGACCCCCCCACAGCCCCCAAATCAGGCCCAAATAGAGTCAAGGGGGAAGAATGTGGGCATTTTGAAGTTCTGAACTTTGACCTGGTGTGTGCCAGATGTCTGGTAAGGCCTGGATGCTGGAGATCATTAAATGCCACCTGACAAGGGGCCTCCAAAGACAGAGGAAGAAGTAAGAGGTCCCAAATTCTCCTCCTGGTGAGCCCTCCCCCCTTCTTCCTTTGTCAAGGAGGAGTGGACAGTCACCTTGGTTTTGGAGGGCGTAAGATTATAATATAAGCCTCTCTCCATTACCCCATGCCCTTGGACCAGTAGGATGGATAAAAAGTATATTTACATGGTGGAATAGTACACAGCCGTGAAAAATGAACTACCAGTACACCGTGCCATATGGATCACGCTCACAGACATATGTGGTGCCATAGAAGCCAGACACACGAGAGTACAGGCTGAAGGATTCCATTTATGCAAAGTTCAGGAACAGCAGGATGAACCTAATTTGTGTAGAAACCAGGAAAGGGATGGGGGGGCTGGCCAGAGGGAAGCTTCTGGGTGTTCGAGATGTTCTGCATCTTTATACATGGTCACGTGGGTGTTCCTTGAGCTGAATGTTTAAGGCTGTGCACTTTTCTAGAAGTTTTACCTCAATGCATTTTTTTTTTTAAATTTAGAATGAGTTGACGAAGCACTTGACTCCAGCCTGAGGAAAATCTAATTGAAGTGAGGCAGGAATTTACAGAACGTAAAGAATTATGGAGAACATTTATCAGCAGCTCCTGGTAAGAGATCATACCTAGGAGATTATGTGCCTTAAATGGCTTTCTAACTCTTTATATTAAAAACAGAGGAGCAGTAGTAGATAAAGAGATTATGTGTTAATACATATTTAAGATTCTATAATATTTAATCATCTAAAAGCAATTTATGGGCATTTTACTCTTGATTTTTATTTTTATTTTTTTTTTGAGGCAGATTAGCCCTGAGCTAACTACTGCTAGTCCTCCTCTTTTTTGCTGAGGAAGACTGGCCCTGAGCTAACATCCGTGCCCATCTTCCTCTACTTTATACATGGGACGCCTACCACAGCATGGCGTGCCAAGCGGTGCCATGGCCGCACCTGGGATCCGAACTGGCGAACCCCAGGCCGCCGAGAAGCGAAACGTGCAAACTTAACCACTGCACCACCGGGCTGGCCCCCCTTGATTTTTATTTACTGAAAAAATATTCTTAAAACAAAAAGGAAAAATATCTCCCTGAACTTATGATCATCCTCGTGGTTCGTGCTACCATGCAAATATTTTACTTAGTCATCATATCTATGTATAATTTTATTGTTTATGTGTATTTTACACTTTATATAACGTATTACGTTGTCTCTTTAAAATTAGTATTCTGAAAGTCTAGTAAATATCTAAATCTCTTCTCTGCTAGATGTTTCAGTATTTAGTCCTTTCCTGAATTTAATTTTTTATGCAGCTGGAGTTGTTTTGATATGAAGTATAAGATGTATCTAAATTACAAATTATTTTTTTTCAAGTTGCTAATCAGTTTTTTCAACAGCTTTTACTAAATAATTCATCACCCACTCATTGTTTTGAGGTCGTTTCTTGATCATATTTAATTTTTCCATGTGATCTCATCTATTTCTAGGCATTCTATTCTAGTCCATTAAAATCTATTTCTTTTTTCCATCAATATTCTCACTGTCCTAGTTATTGCTACTTTACATGTTTTCATGTTCTGTAAGGCCGTATATCAATGCTGTCCTTTTCCAGGATATTCTTGGATGTTCTGACCAATGTTTTCGCCAGGTGAATTTTAGAATCATTTTCTCCAGTTCCTTTTGCGGGACCGTTTGTTATCACATTAAATCTGCAAATTAACATGGAGGTGGGCTGACATTTTTATAATATTCGGTCTTCCCATGCAGAAACATAGTATGCCTCTCCATTTATTCTGGTCTTCTTTTATTCACCAATAAAATTTTGTAGTTGTCTTTATATAGGTCACACGCATTTCTCATTAAGTTTATTCCTAAGTATTTTTCCATTGCTTCTGGGAACGGCATCTCTTTTTTCATTACGGTTTCTGGCAGACGATGGCTAGATTACAGGAGAGCATTGATTGGGGTAAATAGGTCTTGTCTCTGGCCACTTTACTAAATGATTATTTGTTTGTGCTCATTTGAGTTGCATTCTTTGGATTTTTGGTCCCAAATCACGTGGACAGTGAACACTGTTTGTCATGTTGGCATTAGACGGGGTGCTAAGTCTGGCATCCCAGAGGCCTGGGGGAGCCAGTCACAGCCACGGCCTCACCCAGCCTGGGACTGGCACCCGCCCTGAACCCCCAGCCCCGGTGGAAGGCCCTGACACCCTCTGTATAGGGTCTCCCAGCCACTGGCAGAGGTCTCCCCCCAACCCTAATGCACTGCCATGGACCCAAGGTGCAGCCGCCATATTAATCAAAGCCATGGTTACCAACTATCCAGGATGTGTCCGACCCCTGGGTCAAGCCTTTTACATAATAATTTTATTTTTAAAATCCCTGAAGGATATATATGATCACCCAGAAAGGTTGAGGAACTTTCTGGAATCACACAGCTACTAAGTGGCAGACCTGGGATTCAAACCTGTGTTCCTTCTCCTCTGCCATGTTGCTTTCCTCTGCAGTTCCCCTCGCCCTTCAGACGGGCCCCAGAGTATTAATGCCCTGCCAGTGTGGACCCCCAGAGTTCACCATGCCACCCTGGGCATTTAATGTGAATGCCAGGAGCCCTACCAGCTCTGTCACCTCAACCTGGTCCCACCTGCTCCAGAATGAGGCCTGGGATGCCTTGCGCCCAAGCCTCTCGTGTTATGAGAGTTTGATGACCACGTGGCAACCTTCCCTGATAAAGAATGTGATCATTACAGGCACCAAATCCCAGGCACCTTTGAGTGAATACTCCACTTGAACATTTATCATATCACAGGGCAATTTTACTATTAGTAATCGTGATAACAGGAGCAGCTAACATTTACTTAGCTCTTATGGGTCAGACGCTGTGTTTGGTACATTACATACACGATCACATTTATCTTCACCACAACCCTGCGCGTCAGAAACTATTGCATCCATTTTATAGATGACAAAACTGAGGCTCAGGGAGGTAAAGTTGTTTGTCTAAGGATGTTCAGCTTACAAGTGGCAGAGCCAGAATTTGAAACTTGAAAGCTTGCCCAGAAGTCCGTTAACTTTGTTCAAATGCTCTATGCCTGCACCTGAGACTTCCTCTATGGTTCAGACAAATGGTGTTATGAAGCGGTGGTCCACAAACTGGTGTGTCTTCGGCATGAGCAGAGGGGCTTTATGAAATGCAGAGGCCCAGGCCCCAGCACAGCAAGGAATCAGCAGCCCAGAGCCGGTGTTTTTAGCAAATCCCTCCTGGGTCAGGTGATCAGCCAGGTTTGAGAATGACCGTTCCAAAGAAGGACTCCTTTGCCATCTAATGATGTGGCCCTCGGTTGATTTTGTAATGGCTCCTACGACTAATAAATATTAGTACAAAGAAAGCAAATGGCTCAATAATAATCATTCAAGTATTTTTGTATGTTTGACAAAGGGGAAGGAATTTCTAAATGAAGATGACAAAATCCTACTTACTTTTCAGAAAACGGTAAATATCTATACGATTTAAAGAGTCGGTACAAACTGAGAAGAAAAACACCAAATCCTAGTAGATTTGCTGAAGGATGTGCATGAAGGCCAAGAACCTGAATAGGTCACTCACCCAGAAGACAAAACCGTTAGTAAATCTGAGCATGGAAAATACTCAACTTCATGAAAGACTTTTTAAAAAAGAGAAGATGATGAAATGCCTTTTAAAGTCTGCTAAATTATAAAATAAACATTTTCAAGACTGCCAAGTGGTAAAAAGCATGGGCTGTGGGGTTAGCCCTACTGGGTTTGATGCTGACCTCTGCCACTCCCCAGCTGTGTGGCCTTGGACAAGTGACATGACCCTTCTGAGTCCCCGTCTCCGCATCTGGAAGATGAGGACCACGGTGGTGGTGGCCTGGCAGGGCCGTTGTATTCCCTGAGGCAGAGAATGATCGTGTATAGCACAGGCCATGGCCCACAGTGGGCACTGGTCAATAGCAGCTGTGGTCAGCTGCTACACTGTGATCTAAATTGCGGTGAAACTGTGATATCCATGCACCGCCTGCCTTTTGCAAGAAATCTGTGCTCCAACCGGATGAAGGACTCACACTCAGAACCCAGGGCCCAGGCCCGCCGCAATTTCATATCAGGCCAGCCCCAGCCACGGGCAGTCCCCCGACCTCTGTCCCTACTGCTGCCTCTCCCTGGTGCCCCTTCCTGGGCCCAGGTGCATCCTTCAGATCAGGGCTCCTAAACCTGGAGGGGAATACT